TTTTTTTTTTTTGACAAAATTAAAATGGAGCAAAGAAAGGCCTTCACTCTAACCAGCTACACTTTTAAGACTTATTTGGTTTTAAATGTAGAGGATAGAGAAGAGAGATGTTATTTCCTCTTGACTCAGTGATAAATGAAAATTATTTTTAATTAGGGGCTAATTAAAATTGCCTATTTTTCCATTCTGTAATCACAAGCAGCAACTTTTGTACCTATTTTAAAATTTGGCCAAAGACTTTTTAAGTCTTTGTACTTGGTTTCTATCAGATTCGCCGTTGTCTTCTACTGTATAAAAGTCTTTCTTCTTCCTCTGATCAATTTTATAAGAAGGATGGCGATTAGAAAACACCCTTCTAATTCGTGAAAAGATCACCTGATTTGCTCGAGTAAGATTGAATCCCAAAATGCTGACTCTCACCATCTTCTTCATCTCACTCCTCCATCTTCTCCTCCCCACCACCACCACCACCGCCCCAGCCTACAATGCCACTGACATCATCCTCCTTGACTGCGGCTCACCGTCCAATACTACGTCAGTGGATGGCCGAAGCTGGCATGCCGATGCGGGATCTATATATTCCTCCTTCAACGACTCAAACTCATCATTTTCTTTAGATACCTTCCACCAAGACCCTTCGGTTCCCACAGTTCCGTACCTCTCTGCACTCATCATTAAATCTAAATTCACCTACAGCTTCCATGTCTCCCCTGGCCCAAAGTTCCTTCGTCTCTACTTCTACCCAGAAAAATACTCCACTCTTGACATGACCACTTCCTTTTTCTCCGTCACTGCCAATAACTACACCCTCTTGAAAAATTTCAGTGCGCATACGCATCTGATGACCAACGAGGACTTCTTGATCAAAGAATTCATTGTTCCTGTGTGGGACAATAAGATTCTTAATGTAACCTTCATCCCTGCTCGGAACTCTTACGCTTTCATTAACGGCATCGAAATCGTTTCCATGCCAAGCGGCCTCTACTTAAGCCGAAAGGAAATCACACAAGTGACTCTAGTCGTTGGCCAATTCTTCTTTTTGGATAATACCACCACCTCACTGGAGACTCTTTATCGGCTGAATGTTGGCGGAAACCGCATTGAGAATGTGAATGATACAGGAATGTATCGAACCTGGAGTCAAGATGGAGATTATCTCATCGGATCAAACTGGACTATTTGGAACAAATCTAACCGGCTTCAATTTACAACAAGGACACCGGCGTACACCGCACCTGAGGAAGTTTACACTACCTTGCGTAGGATGGGCAACAATTTTTGGTTGAATTTGAAATCCAACATGACCTGGAGGTTCTCCGTTGATCCGGGGTTCTTCTACCTCATTAGGCTTCATTTCTGTGGGCTTCTGGAGAATATCACACGCTCGGACCAATATGTTTTCGACATATTCATCAACAATCAAACAGCGGAAAAAAACATAGACATGTTTTCTATGAGCGGCGGCAATGGATTTCCAATGTTCAAAGACTATATTGTTTTGGCTGACAACAGGAACCAGGGAAGGGACCTCTGGCTAGCGCTGCACCCTGCTCCAAGCGCAGTAATTATGGATGCCTTTTTGAATGGTTTGGAGATTTTCAAACTAAATCAATCTGATGGTAACCTAGCTGGATCCGATCCAGACTCGCACCAAAAGTTACTTGAAGGCCCAAAGAGTAAGCCAACGTCAATAATTTTGCCAATCATTGGAGCTATTCTCGGTGGTTTTGCTCTGGTTTCTCTCCTCGTGAGCTTTTTCGTTTTTCAAAGACAAAGAAAACTGAAACATTCGCTCTCTTTCACATCAAAGTTCTTTACCACAAAAACCTCCTCCTCGTTACCATCTGATATCTGTTGTCACTTCTCAATCGCCGAGATCAAAGCAGCCACCCAAGATTTTGACGATGCGCTTCTAATCGGAAGTGGAGGATTTGGAAACGTTTACAGAGGGATTATCAATGGTGGGACCACCATTGCTGCAATCAAACGGTTAAACCCTTCATCAAGGCAAGGGGCCCACGAGTTCCACACCGAAATTACCATGCTTTCAAAGCTTCGACACATGCATCTTGTTTCTCTGATTGGATACTGTGACGACCACGGTGAGATGATCCTAGTGTACGATTACATGGCACGTGGCACACTTCGTGATCATCTCGACAAAACCAAGAATCTGCCATTATCATGGAAACAGCGACTAGAGATCTGTATTGGAGCGGCGCGTGGGTTGCACTATCTCCATAGAGAGGCAAAGGAGGTTATCATCCACCGCGATGTGAAATCATCTAATATCTTATTGGACGAAAATTACGTGGCAAAGGTATCAGATTTTGGTTTGTCGAAACTGGGTCCTACAAGCGCGTCCGAGACCCACGTCAGCACAGTGGTGAAGGGTAGTTTCGGGTATATAGACCCAGAATATTATCGCCTGCAGCGACTAACAGAGAAATCTGACGTGTACTCTTTCGGCGTGGTCTTATTTGAGGTGCTGTGCGGCAAGCCTCCGGTCTTCGAGACGCTTTCGGAGGAGAAAGTGGGCCTGGCCCAATGGGCCCCTAGTTGTTGTCAAAATGGAAGCCTTGATGAAATCGTGGACCCGTATCTGGCAGGCCAGATTGCGCCGATGGCCTTGCAGAAGTTCAGTGAGGTCGCGGAGAATTGTGTTCGTGAACGTGGAAATGAACGTCCGACAATGAGGGATATCGTGTGGGCATTGGAGTTTACATTGCAGCTTCAGGAAACCGAAGAAGAAAACACGAATGATAGTGATGCTATCATCACCGATGAGGGTTCAAGTCAAAACACGGTAAAATCTCTATC